CTGCGCCTGTGCCAGGGCCCCACAGTAGCACGCAACGGCCATTTCAGGGGAGGGGGTGAAGGTGCTTCACCCTGGGTGCACACTGAACAGGCTGCATCCGTTCTGCTTCGTGACGAACTGTCTGAGGCGCGCAGAAGTGCACACATCGTTACTCAGAGCCTCACGTACAGGTCACCAAGCTTGCAGAACGGGGGATTTGGGACAAGTGGAAGCCTGTCATGCATCCTCCCCAATTCTGTTTTCTTCCTCCACATTACGGGCAATTATTTTGCTGAATTTAGTGTTTTCCCTCCTCTACAGGTTTTTGTGCCTTCACTGTATATGTGTATAGCCATAAAGTATGCATTATTTTTCAAATTTTTTACCTTTGTATACTTCTCTTTGTGTAGCTTGCTTTTCTCCCGTAACATCTGTGCTTCTCAGAGCTATCTCTGTCAATTGATACACGCTGCTCTAATCTCTTCATTTTAAATGTCCATGTATGTAGAGCCTGATTGATTTTTCCTTATTGTAATTATCCGTTCTCATGAAGGTGAACCTGAAAATTGCTTTGTTATTATAAATACTATTTATGTCCCCACAACTTCAGTCTTATCTGTCTTTTCCAGGACTTTCCACCAGTTTATGCTCTTGTGAATATGCTGCGTGCGTACATTCCTGTTTCTCCATGTCCTTGCCAACATTTGATATTGTCAGGCTTCTTATTTTTGCCTATCATAGGGCTGCAAAATTCGATCTCATGGGATCTTCAATTATATTTCTCTGTTGGTGAGGTTAAATAACTTTTCATATGTTACCCCAATATTTGGGATTCTTATTCTGTGAATTATCTGGTCACATCTTTTGCTTATTTTGTATTGGACTATTTACATTGTAAAAAAATAAACTTATAGATATTCTTCATATCTTTATATCAAGTCTTGATTTTTAATGTGACCAAATTTACCTATCTTTTATGTTCACATTTGTACTTTTTCTATCCTAAAGTCACAGGATTGCTTTTTTAATATATTTTCTCTCAAACATGACAAAGCTATGCCTTTTAAATTTAGGTCTCTAATCCATTTAGAGCTTTTGTTGACAGAGTGTGAGAAACCTAATTCTATATATTTAAAAAATTTGAAATTTAACTATCTGTTCTTACTTTGAATAATGGTATATATATCGTTCTTGTAATTACTTCTTCTTAAATAATTTAAGGTTCAGTTTTAAAATGACTATCTCATTTGCACAATGTTTTCAGTGAGTTTGAACATTCTACACTTGTGGGCAGTGGTGGGATGGACCTGAGAGAACAGGTGAGCTCATTTCCATCTGAGGACAGCCTGAGCTGCTCCACGGAGCATGCAGGATGAGAGGAAAAGCAAAAGACAGGACGATGTATAGGTCTTTAATACCTCTCTGGCCTGCTTCTGTTTACAAAGCACTTTCACCAGCATCTTACTTGAGTCTCACGACAGTGCTCTCAGACACCAGAGTTCGGATCGGGAAACCAAAATTCAAAGACATTTCTCTGCTCTTGCCCAAGCTCTGCAAACGCAGATGCTGAGACTACAGTTTACGTTCTCTACTCCTGTCTCAGGACTGCCCTGCCTCTCATCCTGGCTTCTTTTCCATAAAATTTTCTCTGGGAGCCAAATGTTTATGCAGTGAAATTTTGATACCTAAAAAGGGACATGGTATAAAATTGGAGTCACATCCTGTGCTTTTGGCTAAGTTAATTAATAAGTGTTTATCATTACAAACCCCCACTTTTATTTAGTATCCTATCTCAGGAACAATTGTTGCTCTATGAATTAAGGCATTCTTTCTTATTATTTTCTGTTTTCACACCTAGATGCTTGATTACCAAGCTTTGAATTTTGCTTCCTTTTGAAGCACTTGTCCAGATTAAATCATTTTGGTGTTTGTACTTGCTTTTTTACTCTTCCATGACTTTTATAGGCACCTTTAGAAACAAAAGACCTTTTCTGTACTACCTTGGCACACTCCACATCGTCTGTCAATATGAAAAAGGAAAAAGGTGATTTTATTTCTTTGGTCAAATATCGATAGCATTAGGTGAAAAGAAATCTAGTTATTTTGAACACATTGTGGCTTTCTCTAGATTCTAAGCAAGCAATCAGCAAATTTTCTTTGAAGATTCTGGCAGTAAATATTAGGCTTCACAAGCTGGGAGACCTTTTTGACAATGATCAACTCTACCCCTGTAGTTCAAAGGCAGGCACAGGTGATTTATAAACAAATGGACTGGCTGCCCGCCAGGAAAACTATTTACAAAACCAGTGAGCAGGTTTGGGCTCCAGACAAGAATTTGCTGACCCTTGTTTTTTGTTCTTTCAACTTTATCTGCCTGGAATCTAATTCTCTTTTAAAAAGTGATTTCTTACAAAACAAATGTTTCAGAACCTCCTCCTATCACCAAAATTGCTACTGGTTTATTTCTACAAAAGTAAAGCCTGATGTTTGCAAAAATTGTGATAATCCATTGCACTCTAAGCTTGCGAAAGGTCAGAAGGAGCCTAATATTATTTGGTCATCTGTTAATCTTTTTCTCCCTGAGATTAGATTTGCTGCAAGCTATGACCTGGCTTGGTCTGGGCACATAGCAATACCTGACTTCTCCTGTATTTAAACCTCTTCACAATTATAGAAGTGCCATCAGGACTATAGATCTGAAAATTATTTCTACTTCTACCAATTCCTTTGAGTGAAAAATATCTGATGCAGATGAAAACAACACTGAGATTCCACCGCACCCAAGATAGAATGGCTGCTATCATGAAATCAACCAATAACAAATGCTGGCAGGGCTGTAGGGGAAAAGGAACCCTTCTCCATTGTGGGTGGGAGTGCAGACTGGTGCAACCACTATGGAAATCAATATGGAGATACCTCAGACAACTAGGATTTGAGGTTCCATTTGACCCAACTATTCCCCTTCCTGGTATCTCCCAAGAAAGCATTAAAAGCATCATGCCCAATGATGTATGCACACCCATGTTTATAGCAGCACAATTTATAACAGCTAAATCTTGGAAATAGCTCAAGTGCCCATCAACTGAAAAATGGATAACGAAGATGTGGTTTTTATATACTATACAGCACTACTCTGTCATAAAGAAGGATAAACTTGGTACATTTCCAAGTAAATAGATGCACCTTGAGACCATACTCTTATGTGAAGTAAATCAGACACACATTGCATTATTTCTCTGGTGTGAGAACCCAAAAGGATAAATAAGGACCAAAATGTGTAATAGATATTGAGAAATAGGGAGAAAATGTTCAAATGGAAAGGGGAACAGAGGAGGGGATATGGAGACAGGAGGGAAGGGAAAAGAAAGAATAGAAAGAAAAATGGAAACAAGGCTTTTGTAAATAAGGAGGGAAAGAGGCATTGAAGGGAAGGAGAAATTGGGGAAAAATGCGTCAAGATATATGATGTACAGGTACAAATTCCCTGTGACGAATGTGATCGTTACGTATATCTAAATGCACCAACAAAATTAGTTTTAAAAAGAGAAAATATCTGATGATGAGTTACAAATAGACCTAGTTGTGTGATCTTTTAGTCACTTTCTCGCATTATGTTTCAGTTTCTCGTGGGTGCTTTGGGAATTGTAACAGCTTTTTGTATTCAAGATTCTGGGATGGAAGGTGGCACAGGAAAGATTGTCATCTTTCAGTATGAATTTTGAAAATAAAAACTTTCCGTGAAAGGGAAGTTTCTAGTAATCTTATCAAATATGTTAAAGGTGAGTATTTAGAAATATGCCATTCTTTCTGTTGAACAATATATAGGATTACATTTTATGTGAGAGGTCCTAAGAAGCTATAGGAATATTTTGTTACTGTCACCTGTACTTATAATTTTTAAATTTGCATTTTTCGGATGCAAAAATAATATAGTTTTTATAGAAGAAAATTTGAGAAATTTAGAAAACCATAAATAAGAAAAGTAAGAGCCAGGGATTTAGCTCAGTGGCACCGTGCCTGCCTTGCAAGCATGTCTTGAGTTTGATTCCTGGTACAAAAAAAAAAAAAGGAAAATTATTCACAATCACTCCCTAGAAGCAAGTATTGCTGATGTTTTAATGACTATGTTTTTGGCATCTCTCTCTCTGCACAAATGTAAATTGGCTATAAAATTTTCATATGCAGGAGATGATAGCAAAATATTTTTGTAGGAACATTTTACTGAAGAATACAGAATGGATATGGTTTTGAGTTGATAAATAAGGATCACCTCTAATTCTAATGCTTATGACATTGTACACTTGCAGAGGAATTTACTGTAACCCGTTATGTGGACAGTTTCATAATGGAGAACTAACTGTAAGCGCTTTGTGCTTTCCATTGTCATAGAAAAGGCTAAGGGAAACATTCTTGTATGTTTCTTGTTGCCCTGCCAGAGCATCTCCTCAAGATAAATCCCTAGAAGTGATATTAGTAGAGTTATATGTGTGTATGTAACACTATATTTGTATAATTTTGATACAGAGAAGTTTGTGCCCAAACTATATTCCCCTACCAGTTAATGAGAGTACTTCATATCCTTACAGTCCTGGAAAATTTCTGTAATTTCTCAAAGATCAGTTGTTAGCATCTATTTTATGGCTATTTCTTAGGATGTGGTTTTTAAACCAGTACCTACCTAGATAGCCCTTACTATGCATCAGAGTCTGTTAGGGGCTTTTATGAATACTACTAGTTTGATCTTCATAATAACCCAATTAAGTGGACACTGTTACAGATGAAGACACTGTTGCATGACTCCAAGGCTGCACACCTCCCGAGGGGGATCTAGTACTTGATCCTGCCTGCTGATTCTAGACCCCATTCTCATGACCGCAGGGCCCTGCTGCCTCTTGGAGGAAAAGCTTAGTGGGCAAGGAAATTAGCTGGACACCTGGGCCAGAGAGTCAAATCCTACCAGCCAACTCTATTTTCAGTGTTTTTATTTTAATTATAAAATAATCGCTTTGATTTTTTTTCAGGGTCTATCACAGTCAAAAGAAATCACAAGAAGCTCTGCCCCACTACCAAGAGGCGCTGGAATATATGGAGATCAGCAGAGGCGAAGAGAGCCCTGAGTATGTATCCATCCTGAGAGATTTAGCAGGCGCAGAGCAAGCCCTGGGGCTCCACGACACAGCCATCAATCATTTCTTACAGGTGAGGGGAGCTACCTGTCACCACAGCTTTGCTGGACCCAGTGCTTGTCATAAACATAAGTGGCACAGAAGCCGAGACAGTGCCTAGCTTGCCGTTCGCACTAGGAAAGCAGAGCACCCTAGGTAAGCTCTAGGTAGGCAGGAGAGTGCTGGATACTGGTCCCCTGCGACCAGCCACACATTCTCCAAGCAGCCAGCGGCTTCTTTCAGGTGGGCTTTCGCACATCATGTGCATTATTGATCAGGTGAAGTTTCCTTATCTTTTAGTATTTATTTATTTATTTAGAGCTTGTGTTGCCAAACTGGTCTAGATTCTTTTTAAACTACACTCTAAAATCTTTATTTGAAGCCACTTAGTTACAGCTGTTAGCTACTATTCTCTTTATCACTATAAGATTCCTGGGCTGAATTTCTTCTTCTCTGGAAAATCTTAGGGTTCTTTTTGTTTGCTTTTTAGGTCTTCAACTGATTAGCTGAGTTCCATTGTTTTGATCAAGGGTAATCTCCTTTACTCAAATATAACTGACATAAATATTGATCACCTCTACAAAATACAGTCAGAGTCGCATCTAGACTGATGTTTGAACAACTGGGCATGATCATAACCTAATCAAGTTGACAGAGAAAATTAACCGTCACAGGGAGTTTGTTGTCTTTGCTTCATTTCACCTGCTAAGAGAGCTTTTTTACTTTTAGAGAATTGAAAATGTAGCCTAATCCGTTCCCGTTATTTCAAATGAGATATAATGACACGGTACTGAGAATATGTTATTGCTGTATCTTTTAAAATTTGTCTGACAATTTCTACTCCCACTCACAGCGTGTTGGAGAGCCCCTTTCCCTCACTGTCTGGGTGGTGTCTTAGTCTTAGTCTTAGTGTAGAGGATGGATTTGGGGAGGTTGCGCCGAGACTGGGGAGATCCACAAGGAGGCTAGTGACGCAGCAGAAGTGATGGGGGCTGGACGTAGAATGAAGATCCTGGGAGTGAAGAGAAGTTGGGTAGTTGGAGAAAGATTCTGGAGGCAGAACGGGTGGGCCGTGGAGATGCATTGGATACGGATGAGGGAAGAGGGGAAGATTCAGCAGTGACTCCCAGGTTCCTGGTCTAGACAGCCCCGTGGGTGCCGTGGCACTTACAGTGGAGAAACGGGGATAACTGGGTGATGGGCAGGTGGTGAGCTGTCTTCCAAGGTGTCTGAGATGCTCCTGGGTGCAAGAAGTGGCCACAAGGCAGATAGATCATCAGGAACGGAGCTCAGGAAGCCTGTGGAGATCACGGTGATGCCTTGGGAGAAGATGAGCTTGCCTGGGTTGGGGGAGCAGGGAGGAAGAAAACTTCTGACTGATGGCAGAATCTTTAGCAACTTCGGGATTCATGGCTAACTGAAGGAGAAAAACCTGGCCGGAAAAAAACAGAGAGAGAGAGAGAGAGAGAGAGAGAGAGAGAGAGAGAGAGAGAGAAGAATTTTCTAGGAAGAAAAATCAAAATGAAAGAGATGCCCCATGTCACTCCTTTTGATACCTTTTACTGTTATGGACACATGGGTTTGTTGTTGGAGTTAACAGCTTACTACTTGTGAAGTGTTTAGCACAGTGCCTGGTACATAGTGCCCCATACGGATTTTTAAGAATTTCTCCCTTTCCAGACTTTCTTGTTCTTTCATTGCTCCATGGGGCAATGACGAGGACAGAAAGATTATGCAGAGAAGGAGATGTGAGGAAGCAAAACTAATAAATGCAGATATCAGTTTCAGAAAGTGCTAAGAGTTGGAGAAGAACAGCCCAGTAAGAGCCCAGAGCTCATGGAAAGATCTAAAATGATGTAAAAACAGACCACTGTGTATCAGTGAGACAAGGTGTTGAAAGCGCACTTCCTCCTGAGGGCAGGTGGAGGGCTGCGGGCAGGGAGACTGACTTCATCAGATTGTCAGGCTGAAAGTGATGCCCTGTGGTCTCAAAAGTGGATCGCGCCATGGAGAGATAGCAGGGAAAAACATCGGAGGGGATCATAGCAGTGCAGGTCGGTGATGGTACTGGCCTGATCCAGGTGCCTTCAGTGGAAACAGAGATGTGCGAAGGTTGAGAGATATGGAGGGAATAGAAATGACAGGGGTCACGGGACAGAGGTAGGGTATTGAAGGAATCAGAGGACTCCCGGTTTATACCAGGGTTGTGTCTCAGGCCACTGTGAGTGCTGACGGCACCATTTACTGAGTGTGGGGACACTGGTAGGGTCACACTTTTTTGTGAGTACCAATAATGCTAAACATTCCTATCCAAAACTTTTGCTGGGAGGAGGGATAGGAGTATTTCACAATTCTTAATTCATATTGACCTTCTGCCAAAGACTTGTTTTGACTATCTTGTCATTAGAGTGGTGTCTCATTACAGTTGATGGACCCATAGTAACATGCTGTCATCACCTGGCTCCATAGTATGTTTTACAAATTTTGACAAATGTATAATGACATGTGCCAGCCATTATCGTATCTGCCTGCCATTGTAATACTACAGAATGCATTCAAATATTGTCTATGAGCTTGGTTCAGAGAAGCATTCCCCAAACCATGTAGGATGCTAGCATATTGCCAAAATTCATAAGTCTATCTGGAAAAGGCATTTATAGCTAAATAATATTAAGTTAAAATTAAATAATTTCATGTGGCTGCATAGTGCATTAAACATGCCAATGTGGATTTTGAATTGAAAGAGAGACAGGCTGTGAGATACCAGTGTCACCCAGACCACAGTTTAGGAAACACTGGATTAGACAAAGCAATGCAAATGTCTAAAATCAGGAATCAGCGAAAGGATTCACCTATCAATAAGATCTTCTGAGATATCAGGATTTTTCACTCAGGATTCTGGAACTCTCCATGAATGGGAAACGAGCTAAGTAATATCTCTTGACTGTGAGGCTTGGATTTGCCATTTTAAAGTATTTTGTTTCCTGTATTTTCCTTGTTTACAAGACACATTTAAAAGATGACATATCTTTTGTTTTGTTTTGTTTTGGTACCAGGCATCAAACTCAGGACCTTGTGCTTTCGAGGCAGGTGGCGGAACCACTGAACTAAATCTCCGGCCCTAATGATGACTTATATCTTAATCATGATATGTCCCTTTATCCCTGAACACTTTAGTGTATGTTTTTTTCTAAAAACTAAGGTCATTCTCTACATAGTTATGAGATTTAGGAAATTTAACATTGGTGCCTGTCCTATTCTGTTTTGCTGGTTATCCCCAATTTTGTCCTTTATGACAATGTTTTTCTTTCTACCCCAAGACCTTGTCCAGGATTGAGTGCTGCACTGAGTTGCCATGAGCCTGTTTCTTTCTGTTTACCTCCTAGTGTCTGTCTTTCATTACTCTGAAAATTTTGAAGAATCCAGGCCAGCTGTTTTGCAGACTGTTCCTCCGTTGGAGTCTGCCTGATGTTTTCTCATGACTAGATTTGGGTGATGTATGCCCTGAAAAGAACACAAAAGAATTTTATATCTTCTTGGGGGTTGGTATTGCTAATCACCCATTTGTAGCAATATACGGTTACTTCTATATACAGAAGTAACCATTTCCTCTTATTCTATAGAATATGTATTCTATAGAGAGACATTTTAAGACCATATAAACATTGTGCTCATCAAAACTTTCCCTCTAGGTTTAGCGTATGTTGATGACCCTTTCTTTCTTTCTTTCTTTCTTTCTTTCTTTCTTTCTTTCTTTCTTTCTTTCTTTCATTCTTTCTTTTTTGAGACAGGGTCTCACTATGTAGTTCAGGCTGACCTTGAACTCTGTAGACTAGAGGGGCCTTGCACTCGCAGCAATCCTCTTGCCTCAGCCTTTTAAATGCTAGGATTATAGGCGTGCACCACCACACCCAGTTTAGACTCTTTGCTGAGACAGTCTTCACTATGATAATTGTAAAATAACCATTTTTCATTCTACCATTTCATCTACGTGTACCAGCTGACATGCTGTTAAGAATAGTGTCTCTTTCTCTACACCAAGTTACTGATTTATGTGTTTGCTTTCTTTTAACTTAATATTATCTTTGGAACTCACTTTATAGTACGTTCATAGGAAATTTCCTCATTTATTTGTACAGATGAACAATAATATAGTTTATACATGTATTTTTTGATTTTTGCAAATAGTTTCCTACATTTGGACATTTAGATAGGTCAGTATTTTGCAGTTGTTTTCATACTGTTGCATTGCATCTTCTGAGTAAATTGCTAGACATGGGACTAAGTCAAATGGAATATGCTTTGTAGTTTTGTCTCATTGCAAAACTCATGCATATTTTTGTCTTAGTGCTAAGTGCACTGTGTAGTCAAATCTCCTTTTCATTTGTACTTGTTCCAAGTGTATTTCCACTAGCAATGTATGAAAATGCTGGTTTCACACAACTTGTTCCAACAAAATACATTGTCAAGCTTATAAATTGGTTGTGATCTGATGGGTGAAAAATGACATCTCAGTACAGTTTTAATTTGCATTTCTATTTTTAAAAATGGAGTTGAATTTTTCCTCAAATATTTAAGTCACTGTAATTTTTTTGTGAATTGTATTCTTTATGAATTATTCATTTGCTAACTTTTAAATCAGACTTTTAATCATGTTTTTCTTAACTGTTAAAAGTTCTTTATATTTTAACAGATTTACCTTAAACTTTATCTATTATATATACAGCAAATACTTTACCCAAGTCGTCCTTTGTTTTTAATTTTGTTTATAGCATCTTATTGAGATCACTTACATACCATAGCATTCAGTATTACAAAGTATATAATTTAGTGGTTTTATTGTGCAATATTTATAAACTTTTGTAGCCCACTACAGATATTTAATCTCAGAACATTTTCAAGATGTCCTGTTCCCATTAGCAGTCATTTACCAGTCCCTTCTCACTTTTGCCTCCCCTGCAACTACCAGATTATGTTCTGTCTCTCTGGATTACCCTGTTCTGGACATTTCCTGTCACTGGGACTGTGCAACAC